TCGTCAGGTTGAAATAATTCAAATTAACACAGCCTTCTAAAAAAAGATCACTTTTCGTTACACAAAAGAGTATTTGAAAAAATTTGGCGTGTGCATGAAACCTGGGAGGGGGCGCTTTCTTTTACGTATTAAAATGTTACCTTCACAGTAAGTGCCATTTCCAGTAAATCCGTCATTACAAGAACAACTGAAACTTCCTAGTGAATTTGCGCAAGAAGAATTTATGTGGCAGGAAGTTCCAACACAACATTCGTCTTTGTCTGCAAATTAAACCAATTCATTAAGTTATAACCCCTTCTGTATAATATTGCTACTCATCCATGAAAATAACTAGACCCTAAATACATGACCACATTTCTTAATAATTTATTTTATAGAATATACGATTTGTCAACGATGAAAATGTCTAAAGTCAGCGAGAATTTTTTATAATTTGTTTGAACTATGAAAAGGAAGAAAGGAGGGAATGGGGAAATATGACTTAAATAATAGAAGCTAAAACGAGAAATTGGAAAAAAAAATTATAAAATGACGTGTACAATTATATTCGTTTGAAATAATTAGTTGTATTAATAAAAGAGAAAAAGACATACGCCTGTATTCAAAAAGCTCACTCACACTCATACTCATTGAGTGTGACATATAAATTTTGTTAATGCTGATCAATGAGAAAGTTTTCTCTGAATAGATAGAAAGATATAAGGTAAATCACTGAAAATCAAGCTCCTATTCGGCTGGAAATACCGCCATTGAAACGTTATGAGCAGATTAAGATCTCCCACTCAATGAGTTTGAGTGTGAGTGAGCTTTTAGAATACAGGCGTTAGGACTCTCCATTGGAAACTCACCATATCCGATTATTAAATCATATATTGCAACATCGTGGGTGATATTTCCTTGTTTTTCGAGCGATGACTTCAAATACTTGTCAATGCGTTTGTTGACCTTGTCCAATATGTACAAGTTAAGCACATCTGAAGTCAAGTCAATCTCCCCAGAATAAGTAATGTTCAAGCTTATCGTTTGTTTATTGAGCGTAGTTTTCATAACACTGTGTTTGTTATTTTGAAAGTTCGCCCAATATATAACATTATTAAATTCGTCGAAGGAAATTGACTGTGCTGAGGCACCATCATAACCGAACTCCATTGTTGATTCATCTAATGGATTGTAACGAACGATTGGGGGTTCGTTTGCCTTTGCTATGTAGAGGTGACTGTAAAAAAATACAGAACAAATTTAAAAAGCTCACTCACACTCACCCTCAATAAGTGTGACAGAAATTTTGTTATTATACTGATCAAAGAGAAAGTTATTTCTTCGGGGCTGTTTACATGAGCCTTACGGGAGGGCTAGCCCTACCAAGCGAGATCGCTCGTGCTACTATAAATCCATACTAAAGAACGTAGATCTCGTTTACATGAGAGTAAGGCCAGCCCTAGCTACCAGGCAAGATCTCGCTATTGACTACCCGAGATCTCGCCTGGTAGGGCTGAAAATTTTTCACATAAACGTAACAGGAACGGCTAGCCCTCGCTATAGGGCTAAAGATATGACGTCAGCAACAATGCATGCTATTTGACGGTTCCGGCTTTCTTTGTAAATTTTCCGAAGCAATAACAAAGTATAAAAATTATTGTTGAAAAATCCTTAGGAAAAGTAAAGATATTTTAATTGAAATAGTGAAATTTTTTTTTTCAGCTATTTTGTTTTTGGTACCAAAAGGTGGCGTCCAGGCTCAAACATACACGAACATATCTAATGTGTCAAACAAGTTTGGAACATTTTTAGAAATTTAAATCCTCTTCTCGTGCAGTCAAACAGGAAGAACCTGAGTTGCTGTTATCTTATATAATTACCATACATTTCATATTTGTTGGAAATAATTTATATTTATAAGTAAAAACCCAGTATACTGCGGAAGAGAATCTTAAGAAAGCAATAATAAAACTGAGCTACAATGAAAATAGACAGTTGATAGCCTTACCCATTTGTTGTGCCCATTTCCAGGTCTTTCACACCAAATACATCTGCGAGCGCAGTCACTTGAGTTTCTTTACCACTTGTAATATTGTACACATATATTCTATCGTGTAGGCCGTGATAGAAATATATCAAATTGTTTCTTCCATCGACGGTGAATAACTCGACATTTCCGATGGCTGTTGTCTTCGCATCAGAACCATCTAAATAATAACTTGTGATTCCTTCACCATCAACATAGAGATATAACCGTTTGTTGATACCATCGTATGACAATAAGGCGTCAACTCTATCGTCAACCTTCATTGGGATACTTGTGGAGTTTTCTGTGTTATAAGATACTGTTCCCGATGATGTTGAGAGGAATAAATATGGTATTTGGCAACGATCTATAAAAAAAAATGTAAACTCAAAATGCTAATTTCAAAAAGACACCAGATTTATGTTATTATTTTCAAACAATATAATATATTATAAAGTGATGGCACTCCCTTATGTTTAGAAAATGCGAAAAAACGAACATATCTTGAATTGGCAGATTGGTACACTTAATTATCAATTTATCATAGACTGGCTTCTGACCACTGACCAGGGTTACAGGTTGTAATAAGTAGCGTACCCAGCCTGTCGATTTGTCCCGCTATGCTAATATTTTAATGTTCACTGACTGCGAAAACAATAGATTTCTAAAGACATGAATAATTATAATGACTCGAAATTTACAAAGCGGGACAAAATCGTCAGGCTGGCTACGCCACTGCTCGTAATAAAAACGAAGAGCAGCATGGATTATAACTATTTTGAATTTCTATACGCCAAAATTGATATCAACTACAGTAGAGTTATAAATAATAAAAAAACAGGATATATACAAAGGAGCAATTTTGTAATCAGCGGGCCTCTCATGCATTCACATAAAGAGCAGAGAACAGACGTGAGTAAGACGACGCTTGAAATCATCGGTTAATATACCCTTGTTTTCGACCATGAAAAATCATTGCCACACCGACACATTTGTGTCTAACAACAAACTCACATATCCACACTAAAGGACGAAGGAGGAATTTCGTTTTAACCGGCCTAAACCCCATATTTGTTTATATTTTTCAGGCAAAGCTAATCAGAATGCCAACATTTTTAATACTTCATATAAAATGGTAAATAATGTACCTTTTTACTGAGAATAGTCAAAATTTATGCATTCTGATTGGGTTACTGAAAATGTAAACAAACTTGCTGACTGTTGTAAAACGAAATTCCCCCCTTGTTCACTAAAGGGTCTGTTACACGATGCAATTTTTGTTTCGAGAGACGTAAATTTCGCAACCACCGAACTTTTGTTTTATTACACTCCATGCATTGACGTTTCTTACACCTACATTTTGAAAACTCTTCACTAATTTACATCTCTTAAAATTAGAACTACATTGCATGATGCAAAAAAAATTGCAACATGTATCCCTGGCCTTAAATACCGGGCGATTCCAGCGCTGGATCGCCTATAAACATGACGAAACTTTCGACGACAAATTGTATTATACTATAATTATTATGTTTGCTCATACCTTCCATTTCACATCTATCTCCAAGAAATCCAGCAGGACATCTACACTCGAATGAATTACCAACGTTTGTACAGCTTCCTCCATTATAACATGGCGCGCTTGCACACGGGGTACCTGTGGAAAAAAAATATACTCATATAATAATATAATTTCATTACTTTTCAAATCAATTGTCTTTACAGTCTGTTAACACACAGTTAATAGAATATACATGTTTTGGAGACCACATAAAACTACAATACAACTCATTAATTAAGTTGAGGTAGATTTATGCAAAAAATTGTTCCTCTCTCATCACACGACTGTTACATTTTGCACAGATAACCAATAGCAATCTTTTCATTAACATATTACTCAAGTCAAGGTTGAGGAGCTTAGCAAGACGAATACCATTAGTAAATTTGGCAAAAATACAATAGACACATGATGAGAAAAAAAGCGTTTTTTGATGCTGAATACGCCACTGTTGCGCGTGAGGCGAGTTAGCCAATGGTTTCCAGTAAATTGTTGATGTTTGTTTCAAAAAGTACCAAAGCGTAATTTTTGTAATACTAGAATTCAATTTACTTACTGCAAATGGCGAATTCATTTAAATTCATCCACGTTATTTCGACGTCGGGAGAACAATCATCAGCATACACCTGAAGCGCTTGACAATAACAAGCAACAGAATCATCTTCACAAGCACACATATCATATTCACAATCTGAAATATATCCTTCTTCAGTTGCATTGATATAACTGGAACAATTACTGAAGGGTGGCTTGAGTAATGCTGAACAATTCTGTCGTGCTATCAATCTTCTCTCTAAATTGGCGTCACATGGGTGATCCACTGTAGTTGCATTTTCACATGTAGGGTCGACTTTCCAAGAATTTCCGAACTCTACTGGATCACCTACGATAGTACCGTAAGGTGTCCAGAAATCATCATATTTCATTTTGTTATAAGTACCACATAAACCTGATGTTCTGTTCACGTATCGACCTCCGATTGTTACTCGAACATTATAAACATTGTTCCAAAACACAGTTACACCATAATCACTTGTGACGACGGTCCTACCATTGCCGTGAATTGTAATGTTTACAGCTGAATAAAATGAAAAAAATTCTGGTAGTTAGCCAAGATGTGGCAGCCTTGTTATCTTCTGTAATGACGTATTCTGAACGATCATTTTGTCGTTTCGTTAACTGTAATAGTGCATGCATTATTGAGTATTATTCGCTACTGCGAAATGTTTTTGTATTTTGGAACAACAAGGTCAAAATTCATTTCATTTGTACGCATATATAGGCAGATCTACACTTAGCTGTGTAAAGTAGCAATAGAAATTTGTGTGTACGTTATCCTTGTCAGTACATGTACCAACCACAATTAATGAATGCATTAAAATTAAAATCAAGATGCAACAAATTTTGTAAATGTATTTAGATTAGAATAAATTTTACCCCCGTAGTTTGTCGACGAGCTGATCTCTCCACCATTCACATTAGTCATTCCTCTCTGAAGTTTGATAGTTAAACCCGGGAAGATGACTGTTATTGATTTCGTACATGTTACTAGTCCATTTCCACAAGGTTCATTTTCTTGTCTTATTTCAAATGTGTTGTTTACTCTGTCTTTAGCCAGGACATATTCGCATTTACCCATGAAGTCAAAACGTTTTCCATCGAATGTTTTATAATGAGGATCCCCATAAGTTACACACGTTGCTTCCACTACGGAGAAAAGTATGAAAAACGAAAAGAAAGTCACTTTCATGATAAATCAACCTTAATTTGCTAAAAGCAGTTTCGTGATTTGAAGTAAAATGCTATTTCGTGGTATTAATTTTCAAAGCAGAGAAGCAAAGTCGATAGTGACAGTCATTCTTTTGAACCAAAATATTGTATACGCTGCAATACGAATCATCTTATCCGAAGTAAACATTTAATCGAGACTTCTGACAAAGAATGAAAAATAATTAATAAAAAAAAAATTCCAAAAAAAAGCGGATGCTATTAGACGCGCATACCAACCTTTTTCTTTACAATCATCTCCTGTATAATCTTGATGACAAACGCAATCAAACGTATCTCCAACTCTGACACAAACTTCATTTTCACCACAAGATAGATCATCACAATCATCAACTACGATAAAAATAATAAATAAAAACCTTTCGTCCGCCGTTCCATTAAGTTACAGATATGAGTAAACCGTACACAATGCGAAAAAGGAATCATTTTCAAGTCAGTAAGACCTGTGCAAACTAAGTAATTCATTAGGTATTAAGTATTACAGCGAATTATTGCCTTACTTTCTGGATTTTATACAATTTTGCCGTCAAACACTAGGTACTTTTGTACATTTTTCCTCGCCAAGAAAAAAAGTGTAGCATGCAAATGGTCTGTTATGCAGGAACATTTAGGACCATATCATGTTTCGTAGGCATTAGAAATTTACATTGCAATTCATACAGCACGTTATCCTCCATTAAGGATTTAATTACTTTAAATTAAGTTGCATTTACAGTATCGCCAATAATATAATTCTGAGTGAAGAAGAATAGTTTTTCTCTATATCAGAACAACATATAAAATACTTACCTTCCATTTCACAGCGGTGACCAGTAAACCCGACAGGACATGAACACGAAAAGTTACTATGAATATTTGTACAAGTACCACCATTGAAACAAGGATCACTAGCACAAGGAGTAGCTGAATAGAGAATAAAAAATTTGGTTAACCCTAATAATAACTTGTACTGTTGTAAAAACACCTGAGGCTGCCATTACTAGAAATTTGTTTAGCCATTCAGTTTCTACTTATCCGACGTCGCTAAGTACACAATAAATATACATTTGTCTACATTTAGCGGAGAAAGACGGAATTGATTACTCACTACATTGTTGATATTGAGGATAACTCAACCAGGTAATATTCACTCCATACGAGGCACAGTCATCTACATAGGCTTCTATTGCTTGACATAAACAAACAGTTGGATGATCATCACAAGCACAAACATCATATTCACAATCGTTAATATAACCCTCTGAGTCTGGGTTGATATAACTTGAGCATTTATCAAATGGAGAATCGCGTAGAGCTGAACAGTTGGCTCTTGCAGTTGCATTTCTGTCCGGATTTGTTTTACAAGGATGATCAACAAATGTTGCATCTTCACAGTTAGGGTCAGTTTTCCAAGAATTGCCAAATTCTATTTCACTATCTGTTATTGTACCATTTGACATAAAGAAATCATCTCCGCCATATCGATTGTATGTTCCACATAAACCAGATGTTCTGTTCAGGTACCGACCAAACACAGTCACTCTCACATTATGAACGTTGTTCCACTCAACTTCGACACCGTAATCGCTTTCGACCAACGTAATGCCACTTCTGGGTTGGGATATCTTCACTCCGTTGGCTAAAAGAAATAATGATGTTACAAGCGTATTAAAGTACTTGCAAGAAACACGAGGATTTTAGGTTCTGTCTTGATAAACAGGTTACACAATTTTAAATGAAAGAAACGTTATAATGCGAGAAGTTCAATTGAATCGTCTTATATCCAGAGGTCTAAGTTTCGTAATGCAACTGTACAATGGGTCGTCGGTTTGTCCCCAAGTTCACTCAGCAGCGGTTTAAGAAATTACACATGCACATATAGCTACATAGAAGATTTGATTTTACGCTTCAGGATATTATTTCGGCTAAATACAATTCTATGAATAACATATTATTAGTAAATAGACAAAATTATGGCTAATATGAGTCATATCCTATAAATAAAAAAAATCAAGGACAGGAGCAGTAAATTCTCACAAATCAATATAGCCATGTTTACTTACCCATATACATTGTTGATAATGAGATTGTCATGCCATTCGCTGTCACACTTCCCCGCAGAAGTTGAATTGTCACATTTGGGAACATCACTGTCAGTGATTTTGTACAGGAAGGTTCACCATTTCCACATTCTTCATTTACTTGTCTTATTTCAAATGTGTTGTTCACACTGTCCTTAGCCAGAACATATTCGCATCTTCCCATGAAATCAAAGAGTTTTCCATCAAAGGTGGAGTAGTGTGGATCACCTCGAGCATTGCAGGTGGCTTTTACTGTTTAAATATACACATTGAATGTTGTATAACGTTGAAGGTAGTATACCGTGATGTATACCGTTGAAAAATATCAATCATTTGGGGGCAAAGATATTCATAGAATATATCATATATATATTCACAGCCACAAATATGAAGATTTCAGTAAGTATTGGTGGTAGGAAAAGTTTAAAAACAAATATGAACATGTGCTATATGCTCGAGCTTACCTAAACGGCAATCAGGTTCTTCATAATCGTCTTTGCAAATACACTTAAAGATATCATCTGCTCGAACACACTGTTCGTTTTCGCCACAAGAAAGAAGACTGCAGTTCGTAGCTAAAAAAATATTGCTTAAAATTTTAAAATGAGCTATCAGATTTCCATAAACCAAGCTAGAGAATTATTAAACTTCATTTCTTAGCGTAAAAGGTGCAAAGATCATTGATACTGAATATATACAATCTAAACGTTACCTTTACAATCACGACCATCTCCTATGAAACCTTCATCACAATCACATTTAAATGACCCAATTTTATTTTTGCACGTAGCATTTTCGTGGCAGTAATTGCTCATTAGGCATTCGTTGACGTCTACAATATAAATTAAACAGAGCTGCTTTTTTTTTTTTCCCATTTGACCAATTTGGTTATATTTGGTAAGCAATTAAGTATTTAAGTAGGAATCATCCATTGGCTAGTTGCGCAGGTTAGCGTCATTTTAATATACATGCGAAGTTACCTTCACAATAAGTGCCATTTCCAGCAAATCCCTCATTGCAAGAGCAGTTGAAACTTCCAAGAGAATTTGCACACGAAGAGTTCACGTGACAGAAGCTTCCAGCACAACATTCATCATTGTCTGTAAATGAATAGAATGTTTATAAGTTCTTTCTGCGAGCCTGCTGATAAAAATCAAAACCAACATTCGATAACAACACATGTTCTGTTATACTCTATTGTGTGTGGTAGCACTGAAACACACTTAGGCAGAGCAGAGCTAAAATATGTATTCTTAAAAATTAATATGTTTAGAACGACAGGAAATTGAGTAACCAAGTCAGTAAAAATAATGTAACGTCAGAAACTTTATCTCTTATGTTTGATGTACGTTGAAGTAAGAAAAAGAGCGAAACTCACCATATGCGATTATCAAGTCATTTATCGTAACATGATAGGTAAAATTTCCTTGTTTTTCGGACGATGTCTTCAAGTACTTATCAATACGGTTGCTGCTGGTGTCCAAGACATACAAATTTAGAACATCAGACGTCAATTCAACCGCCCCAGGATAACTAATGTTTAAACCAATTGTTTGCTTATTGAGACTAGTTTTCATAACATTGTGATTGATTCCATCATAGTTTGCCCAGTAAATGACGTTATTGTACTCATCCACAGAAATTGACTGCGCTGAACCATCAAAATTGAACTCCATTATTGTGTTATCTGCTGGGTTATAACGTACGATTGGAGGATCACCTGCTCTTGCTATGTAGAGGTAACTGTGAAGGATATTAAAGTAACTCAATACCAACTTACACAGACATAACTAATAATTAAACAAGCCTGGAGCAATTTCATAAAGTCTTACGTGCAATAACAACAAAGTACAATTTGAAAGAAAGTTGAGAGTCGCTGTCATCAAATATATTCATTTTATACACGTTTTGGTTGAGGAATATATTCCTTGTAAAATTAATATAAAAACCTAAACATTTTTGAAAAAAATCGTAAGAAAACAAGCCTTGCTCGCCTTACCCATTTGTTGTGTCCATTTCCAGATCTTTTACACTAGATATATCTTTGAGAGCATCAACTTCAATCGCTGGCAATTGATCACCAGTAATATTATACACATATATTCTACTATGCAGTTCATGGTAGTAATACATCAAATTGTTTCTTCCATTGACAGTGAATAACTTCACATTTCCGATGTTTGTTGTCATCTCATCAGAACCATCTAAATAATAACTTGTGATTCCTTCACCATTAACATAGAGATATAACCGTCTGTTGATAGCATCATATGACAATAAGGCGCCAACTCTATCGTCAACCTTCATTGGGATACTTGTGGAGTTTTCTGTATTATAAGACACTGTTCCCGATGATGTTGACAAGAATAAATATGGTATTTGGCAAAGATCTACAACAGAAATACAAACTAAGAATGTTGTGCTGAAAAAACCTACCATTATCTTCGCTAATTCATTCTATCACATGCAGGCGTCTAAATTACACCGAAAACTTGAGATATAAATTTGAATATCTGTACACTAGCTAAAAATATCCTCTGTGAATCATTTACTCTAAATTGATATTAAAATTCCAATTTAGGCAAACAATAGAAGTCGACGTTTAGTCATTTTTCGCTAATGATAGAATTGTCTCGTTGTAGTTGTAGTGTTCATCGCGCATGGTAAGGTTGAAAATTACAAACTTTATTATAGGGTCTAAGCCTGTTAAAGAGCATCTCATCCCTTCGAACATGGTCAGAGGCGCCATAAGCAATTAAGGGTTGGGGGGGGGGGTGACAGAATTTCCAAAAAGGGTCGACTTTAGTTTGCAAAGACAAACAAGGAAAATAATGTATTTTAGATGTGTGTCAGTTCAAATGAAGAATGGATTTTTATGGAATTCAACGTTGCATGCGTATTTCTGCTTTCGGCAGCACAAACATATTGAAGAACGAAATTACGAAATGAGACATTCAATGTCTATGAGCATAAAAGAGCAAACTGCCCCGTGGTTGCGGCAGCCAAGGACATGGTGCATCGTTTGGTAATGTATTTCAGGTTTATAGTTAATTACTTGTATACGGGTCATGCGAACAGCACCTAAAGGCCTGCGCACACTCGAGCTTATTGGTCATTCGTGCCACTTACGGCAAATATCTAGCATGTTTGATAATTTCTGCCTCGCGTCCGAAATCTTTCGTGTGCGCCAAACTGAACGCTATCTGCTTATGGATTGTCTTAACAGCGCATGTGTAATATACAAAAATAAACCAAAAGTCCAATATGGCGAACAGATTGCAAAAAATAAAATTATGGGTGAAAGTGAAGACGAAGAGGTGTTGTCATTTTTGCTGCTGTTGCGTCAACGGATTCACAATGTTAAAAATTATTTCAAATGATTGCCTGACAAGATGACGGTATTGTCGAAATTGTCAAATTGCTCTGGCTCTTCTGAGTTTAGTACTTGAACAAGATTGCGAAAGCTCCTTGACCATATCGTCTCATGATCCATCGCTTCGTCCACGTAAAAATAACAACACCTCTTCGTCTTCACTTTCATCCATAATTTTATTTTTTGCAAACTGTTCGCCATCTTGGATGTTTACTTTCGTATATTACGCATGCGCTGTTCAGACAATCCATAAGCAGATAGCTTTCATTTCGCCGCACACGGAAAGATTTCGGTGCGCGAGGCAGAAATTATCAAATATGCCAGATATTAGCCGTAAGTGGCACGAATGACCAAAGTCCCCGGAAAAGTCGCCCGCAAACGAGAGCAACTGGCTACGGCAATGGCCACGAATGACTTTTTGCTAAGCACATAGCTCTAGTGTGCGCCGGCCTTAAGATCAAAAAACATATTCAGCAGCGCAAATATATATTAAAATAAAGTTATTATTATCTATAGCGATGGTGAATATGACTAGATCGGGTGAATTAATACTGTGCATGATGATGCTATACTCTGCATGAATTAGCAATTGGGAAAAGGAAAAGAATAAGGTCCATTCTATGCTTCATGAAGACATTGAAAAATTGTTATAATTATTGTCGTACAAAAGTCCAAATGGATTTTTTTTTACCTTTGTTCTCACATCGGGCACCAATATATCCGGCAGGACATCTACATTCAAATGACGAAGAATCAATGTCTGTACACGTTCCGCCATTATAACATGGAGCACTTGCGCACGGCGTGTCTAAAACAGAGGCGAAGTGCTCATATAATTGTTGGTTGTATAAAAAAGTTTGCCATATCTATCGCATAGTAAAATTAGTTTTTAGCCTTTAATAATAGTTTTCTTATTTTTGTAAAGTATTTACAACGGCAATTTGCATTAGATTTAGTTTTACCAACTATATAACGAACCTTTGTGACTAGAAAACTAAAACGTATGGAGCCTTGTATTAATTTTTTAGTCTAGATATGAAACGAATGCTTTTATTTTCAATTCTAATTTCGTAACGCAATGGAGTTTACCTTCTATATTCACATCTTTATCTATACTTACTGCAAATGGCAAATTGCTCTAAATTCATCCACGTTATTTTGACGTCGGAAGAGCAATCATCAGCATACGTTTGAAGCGCTTGACAATAACAAGCAACAGAATCATCTTCACAAGCACACATATCATATTCACAATCTGAAATATATCCTTCTTCAGTTGCATTGATATAACTGGAACAATTACTGAAGGGTGGCTTGAGTAATGCTGAACAATTCTCTCGTGCTATCAATCTTCTCTCTGCATTGGCGTCACATGGGTGGTCCACTGTAGTTGCATTTTCACATGTAGGATCGACTTTCCAAGAATTTCCAAACTCTACTGGATCACCTACGATGGTACCGTAAGGTGTCCAGAAATCATCATATTTCATTTTGTTATAAGTACCACATAAACCTGATGTTCGGTTCACGTATCGACCTGCGATTGTTACTCGAACATTATAAACATTGTTCCAAAACACAGTTACACCATAATCACTTGTCACGACGGTCCTACCATTGCCATGAATTGTAACGTTTACAGCTGAAAAAAATGAAAAAGCCCTAATAATACTGCATGCATCGTTAGCCAAAATGTGGCAATTTTGCAATCTTTTGTAATTATGTATTCTGAACGTTCATTTTGTTGTTTTATGTAAATTTGTGTGTGCGGTATACTTGTCAGTACCAACCACAGTTATAGAATGCATCAAAATAAATCAACACGCAACAAATTTTGTAAATCTATTTAGATTAGAAAAAAAAATTTACCCCCGTAGTTTGTCGACGAGCTGATCTCTCCACCATTCACATTAGTCATTCCTCTCTGAAGTTTGATAGTTAAACCCGGAAAGATGACTGTTATTGATTTTGTACATGTTACTAGTCCATTTCCACAAGGTTCATTTTCTTGTCTTATTTCAAATGTGTTGTTTACTCTGTCTTTAGCCAGAACATATTCGCATTTACCCATGAAGTCGAAAACGTTTTCCATCGAACGTTCTATAATGAGGATCTCATAAGTTACACACGTCGCTTCGACTAGAAATGTGGAAAAAATACAGAATGTGAAAAATGGTTCTTTTTTCCTCGAAGAAAAATGGCTCTTTTTTAATCGTTATGTTTACCAGTGACCACATTTTAGGACACTACTTTTCACTACGGAATAATAACCCAGGAGAGGTCGATCTCAAGTTAAACCATAACCATCAACAGTAATTCGTGAATTGCATTTGGACAGTGACTTGGAGCGAAATGATATTGTGTGGTATTAATTTTTAAAACAGAGAAGCATAATCGATTATGACAGTCATCCTTTTCAGCCAAATTTTACTGAACTTGTACATGATGTTCCAAACCGTAGAAAATTGTATACACCGATGTAAATAAACATTTGCCCGAAATAAACATTAAATCTAAGGTCCTTAAAATGAATGAAAATTACCAGAAACCATTCCTAAAAAATAATGGTGCTATTAGACGCGCATACCAACCTTTTTGTTTACAATCATCTCCTGTATAATCTTGATGACAAACGCAATCAAACGTATCTCCAACTCTGACACAAACTTCATTTTCACCACAAGATAGATCATCACAATCATCAACTAAATTAAATTAATAAATAAAAACCTTTCGTCCGCCGTTCAGTTACAAATATCAGTGGACGGTATACAAAATGCAAACAAAAGAAATAATTTTGCAGGCAGTAAGACTTGTGCAAACTAAATAATTTATTTTGGAACAACGTGTGTATTTATTATATGGAAAGCTTTCGGCTAGTTAACCCAGGCGTTAAATGATTACTTTAATCGAAGCTATCATCATGCAATTCACCATGCAGTGAAAATTTCAAGAATCTTATTTGAGTATTACAGCGAATTATTTCCGTACTTTGTGCATTTTACAGAATGTTGCCGTCAAACATTGCGTTTGTAGCAATGCGATGCTAATTGTCCGTTATGCACCACACTTTATGATATCTTTTACAGGTATTAAAAATTACATTGCAATTTATATAGCAAGTTGTCCTCCATTAAGGCTTTTACAATATCAAATAGAAAATCATTCTGAGTGAAGCAAAACAGCCTTAATTTACTCTATCAGAAAAAAACATAAAATATTTACCTTCCATTTCACAGCGGTGACCAGTAAACCCGACAGGACATGAACACGAAAAGTTACTATGAATATTTGTACAAGTACCACCATTGAAACAAGGATCACTAGCACAAGGAGTAGCTGAATAGAGAATAAGTTTGGGTTAACCTTATCATAAGTTGTACTGTTGTAAAAAAAGGTGAGGCTGCCATTACTAGAAATTAGTTTAGCCATTCATTTTCTATTTATCCGACGTCGCTAAGTACACAATACATTTACATTTGTCTTCATTTAGCAGATAAAGACGGAATTGATTACTTACTACATTGCTGATATTGAGGATAACTCAACCAGGTAATATTCACTCCATACGAGGCACAGTCATCTACATACGCCTCTATTGCTTGACATAAACAAACAGTTGGATGATCATCACAAGCACAAACATCATATTCACAATCGCTAATATAACCCTCTGCGTCTGGGTTGATATAACTTGAGCATTTATCAAATGGAGAATCGCGTAGAGCTGAACAGTTGGCTCTTGCAGTTGCATTTCTGTCAGGATTTGTTGTACAAGGATGATCAACAAATGTTGCATCTTCACAGCTAGGGTCAGTTTTCCAAGAATTGCCAAATTCTACTTCATTGTCTGTTGTTGTACCATTTGACATCAAGAAATCATCTCCGCGATATCGATTGTATGTTCCACATAAACCAGATGTTCTGTTCAGGTACCGACCAAACACAGTCACTCTCACATTATGAACGTTGTTCCACTCAACCTCGACACCGTAATCGCTTTCGACCAACGTAATGCCACTTCTGGGTTGGGATATCTTCACTCCGTTGGCTAAAAGAAAAAATGATGTTACAAGCGTATTAAAGTACTTGCAAGAAACAGGAGGACTTTACGTCCTGTCTTGATTTACGCATATTACGCATGTACATAACTATATAAGGATTTAACTTCACACATCAGGATAATATTTTGGCTAAATACAATTGTATAGATAACATAATTAGTGAATAGACAAAATTATGACTAATATGTGTAATATCCAGACTAATCCAGTAGATAAAAAAATCAAGGAGAGGAGCAGTAAATTCCCACAAACGAATATAGCCATGTTTACTTACCCATATACATTGTTGATAGTGAGATTGTCGTGCCATGCACTGTCACACTTCCCCGCAGAAGTTGAATTGTCACATTTGGGAACATCACTGTCAGTGATTTTGTACAGGAAGGTTCACTATTTCCACATTCTTCATTCACTTGTCTTATTTCAAATGTGTTGTTCACACTGTCCTTAGCCAGAACATATTCGCATTTTCCCATGAAATCAAAGAGTTTTCCATCAAATGTGGAGTAGTGCGGATCACCTCGAGCATTGCAGGTGGCTTTTACTGTGGAAATATACACATTGAATGTTGTATAACGTTGAATGCAGTATACCGTGATGTATATACTGTTGAAAAATATCAATCATTTGGGGGAAAAGATATTCATAAAATATATCATAGATATATTCACAGCCACAAATATGAAGATTTCAGTAAGCATTGGTGGTAGGAAAAGTTTAAAAACAAATATGAACATGTGCCATATGCTCGAGCTTACCTAAACGGCAATCAGGTTCTTCATAATCGTCTTTGCAAATACACTTAAAGATATCATCTGCTCGAACACACTGTTCGTTTTCGCCACAGGAAAGAAGACTGCAGTTCGTAGCTAAAAAATATTGCTTAAAATTTTAAAATGAGCTATCCATAAACCAAGGAAGAGAATTACTAGACTTGATTTATCAGCGTAAAAGGTGCAAAGATCATTGCTACTGAATATATACAATCTAAACGTTACCTTTACAATCACGACCATCTCCTATGAAACCTTCATCACAATCACATTCAAATGAACCAATTTTATTTTTGCACGTAGCATTTTCGTGGCAGTAATTGCTCATTAGGCATTCGTTGACGTCTACAATGTAAATTAATATCGTTAAATAGAGCTGCTTTTATTTTTTCCGATTTGACCAATTTGGTGACTACCAAATGTCCGATAACAGATAGTCTGTATTTCAATTGATGATTTAAGTTGTAGACTACTTTATTACAGATTGATAGAGTTTTAGTACAAATTGTTCATCTTGGCTTAATAGAAATTCGTAATGCTGTAATATTGACAATTTATATTTTGAGAATAAACTTTGTAATTTTATTGGATTTTTGTATATTATAGGGGAGTTTAAAGAAGGCATTAAAAGATTTTAAACTGCATGTTAGGAAAAATATCATTTGAAACACTTTGTTTTAAGATCAATAACTAGATATGCATAAAAATTATGTAGATATGTAAACATTTTCCTCAAGAAATGTGTAATATAGAGGAAATTCTTCACACAATTATTTACATTCAGGAATTAAAAAATTAATTCAAATGAATAAAATTATAGGTTAGATTACCCACATCTGAAAAAAGCAGTTAAGTATTTAAGTAGGGATCATCCATTGGTTAGTTGCGCAGGTTAGTGTGATTTTAATATACATGCAAAGTTACCTTCACAATAAGTGCCATTTCCAGCAAATCCCTCATTACAGGAGCAGTTGAAACTTCCAAGAGAATTTGCACATGTAGAGTTCACGTGACAGAAGGTTCCAGCACAACATTCATCAATGAATCTTTATAAGTTCTTTCTGTGAGCCTGTTGATAAAAATCAAAACCAACATTCAATAATAACACATGTTCTGTTATACTGAGAGCAGAGCAAAAATAAGAATTTATTTTATAAAATATGTTTAGAACGACAAGAAATTGAGTAACCAAGTGAGTAAAAATAATGTAATGTCAGTAACTTTATGTCTTATGTTTAATGTAAATTGAAGTAAGAAAAAGAGCGAAACTCACCATATGCAATTATCAAGTCATTTATCGTAACATGGTAGGTAAAATTTCCTTGTTTTTCGGACGATGTCTTCAAGTACTTATCGATACGGTTGTTGCTGGTGTCCAAGACATACAAATTTAGAACATCAGACGTCAATTCAACCGCCCCAGGATAACTAATGTTTAAACCAATTGTTTGCTTATTGAGACTAGTTTTCATAACATTGTGATTGATTCCATCATAGTTTGCCCAGTAAATGACGTTATTGTACTCATCCACAGAAATTGACTGCGCTGAACCATCAAAATTGAACTCCATTATTGTGTTATCTCCTGGGTTATAACGTACGATTGGAGGATCACCTGCTCTTGCTATGTAGAGGTAACTGTGAAGGAAATTAAAGTAACTCAATACCAACTTACACAGACATAACTAATAATTAAACAAGCCTGGAGCAATTTCATAAAGTCTTACGTGCAATAACAACAAAGTACAATTTGAAAGAAAGTTGAGAGTTGCTGTCATCAAACATATTCATTTTACACACGTTTTGTTGAGGAATATATTCCTTGTAAAATTAATATAAAGACCTAAACATCTTTGAAAAAAATCGTAAGAAAACAAGCCTTGCTCGCCTTACCCATTTGTTGTGTCCATTTCCAGATCTTTTACACTAGATATATCTTTGAGAGCATCAACTTCAGTCCCTTGCGATTGGCCACTAGTAATATTGTACACATATATTCTACTATGCAGTTCATGGTAGTAATACAAAATTGTTTCTTCCATCGACAGTGAATAACTTCACATTTCCGATGTTTGTTGTCATCTCATCAGAACCATCTAAATAATAACTTGTGATTCCTTCACCAACATCATAGAGATATAACCGTCTGTTGATAGCATCATATGACAATAAGGCGTTTACTCTATCGTCAACCTTCATTGGGATACTTGTGGAGTTTTCTGTATTATAAGAGACCGTTCCCGATGATGTTGACAAGAATAAATATGGTATTTGGCAAAGATCTATAACAGAAATACAAACTAAGAATGTTGTCCTGAAAAAACCTAAGATTATCTTCGCTAATTCGCTCTACCACATGCAGGTGTCTAAATTACACCGGCAACTTGAGATATAAATTTGAATATCTGTACACTAGCTAAAAATATGCTCTGTGAATCATGTACTCTAAATTGATAATAAAATTCCAATTTATGCAAACAATAGACGTCGACGTTTAGTCATTTTTCGTTAATGATAGAATTGTCTCGTCATAGTTGTAGTGTTCATCGCGCATGGTAAGGTTGAAAATTACAAATTTTATTATAGGGTCTAAGTCTATTAAAGAGCATCTCATCCCTTCCAACATGGTCAGAGGCACCGTAAGCAATCAAGGATTGGGGGGGGGGACAGAATCTCGAAAAAGGGTCGACTTTCGTTTGCAAAGACAAACAAGGAAAATGATGTAATTTAGAACAGCGCGCGTCTTTATTCAATCTTCAAAATAATGAAGAATGGAATTTTATGGAATTCAACGTTGCATGCGTACTTCTGCTTTCGGCAGCACAAACATATTGAAGAAAGAAAATTACGAAATGAGATATTTGATGTCTATGAGCATAAAAAGAAAACTGCCCCGCTGCCCCGTGGTTCTGGAGGCCCGGGACAATCGTATTGGTCATGTATATTTCAGGTTTATAGTTTAATATATCTGTATACGGGGTCATGCGAACAGCACGAAAGATCAATAAACATATTCAGCAGGGCAAATGTACAAATAAATAGTATTATCTACCGCTGGCATGCTGAAATATAGCGATTCTGCATAGGACTCGATCGGGTGAATTAATATTGTGATGGGGCTATACTCTGCATGAGTTAGCAACTGGACATGCTGAAGCATTCCCGCTTTGACTCTGAGTATCCTCATACATCACAATACGCTGAAACATTTTAAACGAGACCTTCCGGGTGAAAAAATAATCGGCCATGTCCATTCTATGGTTCACGAGGACATTGAAAAATTCTTATGATCATTATCGTACAAAAGTCCAAATGGATTTGTATTTACCTTTGTTCTCACATCGGGCACCAATATATCCGGCAGGACATCTACATTCAAATGACGAAGAATCAATGTCTGTACAGGTTCCGCCATTATAACATGGAGCACTGGCGCACGGCGCGTCTAAAACAGAGGCAAAGTACTCATAATTATAGTTTGTTGTATAAAAAATGTTTGCCATATCTATCGCATAGTAAAATTAGTTTTTAGCCTTTTATAATATTTGTCTTATTTTGTCTAAGTGTTTACAAACGGTAATTTCCTGTAGTTTTAGTTTTACCAACTATAATGAACGCTTGTGACTAGAAAACTGAAACGTATGGAGCCTTGTATTAATTTTTTAGTCTAGATATGAAACGAATGCTTTTATTGCAATTCTAATTTCGTAACGCAATGGAGTTTACCTTCTATATTCACATCTTTATCTATACTTACTGCAAATGGCAAATTGTTCTAAATTCATCCACGTTATTTTGACATCAGAAGAGCAATCATCAGCATACGTTTGAAGCGCTTGACAATAACAAGCAACAGAATCATCTTCACAAGCACACATATCATATTCACAATCTGCAATATATCCTTCTTCAGTTGCATTGATATAACTGGAACAATTACTGAAGGGTGGCTTGAGTAATGCTGAACAATTCTCTCGTGCTATCAATCTTCTCTCTAAATTGGCGTCACATGGGTGGTCCACTGTAGTTGCATTTTCACATGTAGGATCGACTTTCCAAGAATTTCCAAACTCGACTGGATCACCTACGATGGTACCGTAAGGTGTCCAGAAATCATCATATTTCATTTTGTTATAAGTACCACATAAACCTGATGTCCTGTTCACGTATCGACCTCCGATTGTTACTCGAACATTATAAACATTGTTCCAAAACACAGTTACACCATAATCACTTGTCACGACGGTCCTACCATTGCCATGAATTGTAACGTTTACAGCTGAAAAAAAATGAAAAAGCCCCAATAATACTGGATGCATGGTGGTTAGCCAAAATGTGGCAGTTTTGCAATCTTTTGTAATGATGTATTCTGAACGTTCATTTGGTTGTTTTATGTAAATTTGTGTGTGCGGTATACTTGTCACTACCAACCACAGTTAATGAATGCATCAAAATAAATCAACACGCAACAAATTTTGTAAATCTATTTAAACTAGAAGAAAAATTTTACCCCCGTAGTTTGTCGACGAGCTGATCTCTCCACCATTCACATTAGTCATTCCTCTCTGAAGTTTGATAGTTAAACCCGGGAAGATGACTGTTATTGATTTCGTACATGTTACTAGTCCATTTCCACAAGGTTCATTTTCTTGTCTTATTTCAAATGTGTTGTTTACTCTGTCTTTAGCCAGAACATATTCGCATTTACCCATAAAGTCAAAACGTTTTCCATCGAACGTTCTATAATGAGGATCTCCATAAGTTACACATGTCGCTTCGACTAGAAATGTGGAAAAATACAGAATGTGAAGAATGGTTCTTTTTTGCTCGAAGAAAAATGGGTCTTTTTTAATCGTTATGTTTACCAGTGACCACATTTTAGGATACTACTTTTCACTACGGAATAATAACAGAGGAGAGGTCGATCTCAAATGAAACCATAACCATCAACAGTAATTTGCGAAAAACATTTGGACGGTGACTTGAAGCAAAATTATATTGTGCGGTATTAACTTTTAAAACAGTGAAGCAAAATCGATGATGACAGTCATCCCTTTCAGCCAAATTTTACTGAACTTGTACAGGATTATCGAAACCGTAGAGAAGATTGTATACGCAGATATAAGAATCACCTTGCCCGAAATAAACATTAAATCTAAGGTCCTCAAAAAGATATAAGAATCCTTTTACCGGAAATAAACAAAATGATGAAAATTACAAGAAATCCATTCCTAAAAATATAATGGTGCTATTAGACGTATACCAACCTTTTTCTTTACAATCATCTCCTGTGTAATCTTGATGACAAACGCAATCAAACGTATCTCCAACTCTGACACAAACTTCATTTTTACCACAAGATAGATCATCACAATCATCAACTACGATAAAAATAAATAAAAATCTTTCATCCGCCGTTTAGTTACAAATATCAGTGGACGGTATACAAAATGCAAATAAAAGAAATAATTTTGAAGTCAGTAAGACCTGTGCATGCAGTAAAAATTTTTTTGGAACAACGCGTGTGTTTATTATATGCAAAGCTTTCGGCCGGTTACAATAACCCGGGCGTTAAATGATTACTTTAATTGAAGCTAGTATCATGCAATTCACCATGCAGTGAAAATTTCAAGAATATTATTTGAGTATTACAGCGAATTATTCTGGTACTTTCTGCATTTTACAGAATGTTGCCGGCAAACATTGCGTTTGTAGCAATGCGATGGTAATTGTCCGTTATGCACGACACTCTATGATATCTTTACAGGCGTTAGAAACTTACATTGCAATTCATATAGCAAGTTATCCTCCATTAAGGCTTTTACATATCAAATAAAATCATTCTGAGTGAAGCAAAACAGCCTTAATTTACTCTATCAGAAAAACATAAAATATTTACCTTTCATTTCACAGCGGTGACCAGTAAACCCGACAGGACATGAACACGAAAAGTTACTATGAATATTTGTACAAGTACCACCATTGAAACAAGGATCACTAGCACAAGGAGTAGCTGAATAGAGAATAAGTTGGGTTAACCTTATCATAAGCTGTACTGTTGTAAAAAAACGTGAGGCTGCCATTAATAGAAATTAGTTTAGCATTCAGTTTCTATTTATCCGACGTCGCTAAGTACACAATACATAGACATTTGTCTTCATTTAGCGGAGAAAAACGGAATTGATTACTCACTACATTGCTGATATTGAGGATAACTCAACCAGGTAATATTCACTCCATACGAGGCACAGTCATCTACATACGCCTCTATTGCTTGACATAAACAAACAGTTGGATGATCATCACAAGCACAAACATCGTATTCACAATCGCTAATATAACCCTCTGAGTCTGGGTTGATATAACTTGAGCATTTATCAAATGGAGAATCGCGTAGAGCTGAACAGTTGGCTCTTGCAGTTGCATTTCTGTCAGGATTTGTTGTACAAGGATGATCAACAAATGTTGCATCTTCACAGTCAGGGTCAGTTTTCCAAGAATTGCCAAATTCTACTTCATTGTCTGTTGTTGTACCATTTGACATCAAGAATCATCTCCGCGATATCGATTGTATGTTCCACATAAACCAGATGTTCGGTTCAGGTACCGACCAAACACTGTCACTCTCACATTATGAACGTTGTTCCACTCAACTTCGACACCGTAATCGCTTTCGACCAACGTAATGCCACTTCTGGGTTGGGATATCTTCACTCCGTTGGCTAAAAAAGAATGATGTTACAACCGTATTAAAGTACTTGCAAGAAACAGGAGGATTTTAGGTCGTGTCTTGATAAACCGGTTGCACAGTTTTAAAGCCATGTTTACTTACCCATATACATTGTTGATAATGAGATTGTCATGCCATTCGCTGTCACACTTCCCCGCAGAAGTTGAATTGTCACATTTGGGAACATCACTGTCAGTGATTTTGTACAGGAAGGTTCACCATTTCCACATTCTTCATTCACTTGTCTTATTTCAAATGTGTTGTTCACACTGTCCTTAGCAAGAACATATTCGCATTTTCCCATGAAATCAAAGAGTTTTCCATCAAATGTGGAGTAGTGCGGATCACCTCGAGCATTGCAGGTGGCTTTTACTGTTGAATATACACATTGAATGTAGTATAACGTTGAATGTAGTTACCGTGATGTATACCGTTGAAAAATATCAATCATTTGGGGCAAGATATTCAGAGAATATATCTTATATATATTCACAGACACAAATATCAAGATTTAGTAGTTATTGGTGGTAGGAAAAGTTTAAACAAATATGAACATGTGCCATATGCTCGAGCTTACCTAAACGGCAATCAGGTTCTCATAATCGTCTTTGCAAATACACTTAAGATATCATCTGCCCGAACACACTGTTCGTTTTCGCCACAAGAAAGAGGACTGCAGTTCGTAGTAAAAAATATTGCTTAAAATTTTAGAATGAGCTATCAGATTTCCAAGGAAGAGAATTACTAGACTTGATTTATGAGCGAAAAAGGTGCAAAGATCATTGATACTGAATATATACAATCTAAACGTTACCTTTACAATCACGACCATCTCCTATGAAACCTTCATCACAATCACATTTAAATGACCCAATTTTATTTTTGCACGTAGCATTTTCGTGGCAGTAATTACTCATTAGGCATTCGTTGACGTCTACAATGTAAATTAATCGTCAAACAGAACTGCTTTTATTTTTTTTCCATTTGACCAATTTGGTGGCTACCAATTAAATGTTAA